ATCTCTTATCACAATCAATTCATCCAGTGTGTCAAGCACATTTGCACATATGCTGCTATTATCATTTTCAAAGCCTTCTCTTCCCACTGGAGCCCCTGATATCAGCTCCCCATTTCTCCCCCCTCCCTCCCATGCCAGCCCTCCCTCACAAATCCTTGATAAGTTATAGATTAATATTTTCATAACTTACATTGTCCACCTTTGACTCTCACCCACTTTTCCATTGTTCGTCCTCCTGAGAGGGGGGTATAGGAAGTTTTTTTTTTTTAACTTTCAGCCTGTGTTGACATCACTTTAAGAGAAAATTCCAAAAATGACTAACCTTTTTTTACTCCCATCCTTTTTTATCCACAATTCCTCACAGATGTTACACATGCTCAAGTCTTTGGGAAGTAAAGTTTAAACATTCAATAATTCTTGATCAGTGTACTTGAAGAGACAGAAGAACAGTAATCTGCAGGCATCAAAAGGTGAGAGTGCTGATTGGTCCACTGAGTTCTTATAACCTGACACTCTCTTTCGGACCTCAGCTGGACCTCCCTATCTTCAGTGCCCATTGCTGGTAGCTAGCAAATGCTTTGTGTGTCTGATCAGGATGGCTTATTGAAAATGTTATTGTCAAACACACATCTTATCACTTAGGCTGCTGTTAGATAGATACGATGATGCCAAAAGAAGGCAGACATGGTCCTTTAAGATCAGCCAGCAAGACCCAATGTATTGTTGGTCTGGCTTTTCCACTTTCATTGATACTTACTTCCCAAAATTTTTGACTTGACATGCAGTGGAACCAGTAACACGATAAAATAATACTGGACGACCTTGAGGGGTGGAAACCGAGAAGGGAAACATGTATTTGACTGTGCTTTTCTGGCCCTGATGACTGATTTCAGTTGAGTGAGCACAGGCTCTTCCGGTTCTGAGGTATCCTGTGACAGGACAGTGCTGGGGAGAGCTCTACTTCAGTAACATTGATTAGAGACCTGGCTCTTTCCAAACGTATTGGGTGATCCCAGCGCCAGCTCTCTGGATCTCTCTCCAGGAAGCTGTAAACATGGCTAATGAATCTGCAGGTGAGAAGTCCAAGGTTACTTTTCACTATTACTCAGAATAAGGGCAATAGGAGCCCTTGTGTCTGTTCCATTGGAGACCCATCAGAAAAATCTGGAGAGACTGTAGTGGCAACTTTCCAGTAGTTCTGGGCACCTCACTGGGAGAGGCTTACTTTTCCACATTCGGGTATTTGTTTTAGGTAAGACCAGCGA